TCAATCAAGGAACACGAAAGACACTGCAGAATATTCAACCTGAGAAGTCAGCCATAGCAGAGCACCCGATGCCCTACCTGGACACAGAAAACAGAAATGCTGGACCACTCTAACAACTACCATGTCAGACTACACAGAGAAGCCATTGAAATCCACAAGCATGTGGACAATTTCAACAGAAAGGAGAAAACCATGAAAATGAACAAAATGTGGCTACCAGTATTTAAAAAAACCTCTAAAATCTGGACAGTAAATAAAGAGGAATACCTAAACTACAGGGGAATTCCTGAAATGAAACAATCAGGGCCAACTAACACCTCCCAACAAAGGATTCCCCCAGATAGCAATCAGCCAGTCTTTGAAGCTGCAAGGCCATTCAATGCTAATCAAGCTGGCCATTTGCAACAACAGAGAAGAATTCTTTCTCCCACTCTAGACATTCCACATATATATAAACTTCACTTGCCTAGTTTCCAAAAGACCTCTGAGGATGCCTGCCATAGATGTGGGCAAAACATCAGGAGAAAATGCTTCTGGAACATGGCCATACAGCCTGGAAAACTCACAGCAACCCCCTGTATTGTATTGGTTTTACTGTAAGCCACTGAGTCCCAAAAGCAAACATGTTATTTACCTCTTCTTCTTTGCGAATGTTGCACTGTAAAGGAGTCACCTGGGCAGGGTTTGAGGATGGAATTTTGGCAGCCAACTCTTTTGCTGCAGCTTTTAATCTGTCAAGTTTGCGAGAGGCTATGACTACATTGCAACCTGTTAAGACAAAACCAGATGAATATTGGGCATTAGTAGCAGTTGAATGATGCTTTGGGTAGGATAACGGATAGCATGCAGATTGAGATAAGCCTCCATTATCGTTTTCCAAACCATCAAACACTCACAGTAACTTTGGAAAATCGCAAACATGGCTGGATCAGATCAAAAGGCTTCTGTAACCACAAGAGCACTTTAGATCCAAGGTAGATCTGAGGTTTCTCCATGTTCACTTTCCATTACAGCAACTCGAGGAACCAGTTTAATAAGCTACTTCAGAGAAACATGGGATAGATAAACATATTTTGCAGTTTGAGCAATAGAGTTGCCTCACAACTTGTAAAAATTGACCTGCCTACAGATTCAGCAATGTTGTAGGTGGCCTACATTGTAAGGGCAAATCTCAACTGAGTCACAGTGCAAATGAGTAATAACTAGCCAACAAAGTAGAATTCAAACATTATTTCAATATCCCACTATGTAGGAAATAATCTACCATGTACCCCAAGTCCTTGGTATCTGCTGGAGTTTGGTTCCAGGATACCATAGATACTAAAATCAATGGATGCTCAGGTCCCATTATATACATATAAGGATGTAGTAAAATTGTGTCCTTATATAAAATGTCAAAAATCAAGGCTGGCTTTTGGGAATTTTTGTTAATATTTTCAAACTCTGGATGGTTGAATACATGGATACAGGATCGGTGGATATCAAGGGCCACCAATACACTTGTTGAGGAAGTTTTAAGTGCAGCTTTCAAATAAGAACACTATTTGTCTTTGCTTTGCAGCAAACATTTCCAGAATGCTCGTATTTTGCAATTGTCATGTTCTCCACTAGCCTTCCCCCATGCCAGCCTAATGTTTCGGATGGAAAGTGTCCACCAGCTTTTGGAAGCTAAGCAGGGTTAGTCCTGGCAAGTACTTGGTTGGGAGACCAGGTGCTATAGATTAGGACTTCTTAAACTTTTCCCTCTCACAACCCCTTTCTGCCTGAGAAATGTTTATGTCATCCTGGATATTTATAGGTATGTAAAATAGATATAAAATCAAACACTTCCTGGAAACAAAACAGCAATTACAAGCCTTGCTAAACAGGCTGCATTTCATTTTTGTAAAATACAGGCAGTGCCCAAGTTATGAACAAGATAGGCTCTGTAGGTTTGTAAGTCGGAACAGGCACATTTTTAAGTGTCTGTCTCTGTCTCTCTCTCACACAGAGAGAGTTTAGCTGTGGGAAGGGTTAACAACCCTGTGGTCATTCTTTTGCTGTTTGTGCCTCTGTTCAGAAGATTTCACCGCAGTTTCTGTTCTTGTGATAATTGAATTTTGAAAAACAAATATTGTGGAAACAAGAATTGGCGAGAAAGCTTCAGTAGAGACACCTTTCCCCCATGATAATGTTTTCCGGAGTGAATTTCCTTTCCTAGGTGTAGATTTCTCTGATTTCCTGTAATCTCACCCTTTTTTTTAGTTATGAGTTGTTTGCAAGTCAGATGTTTGTAATTCGGGGATGGCCTGAACAGCTGAAACCTTTTCTACACTATAAACACTGCATGTTGTGCTAACGGATTCTTGTAGATATCTAGGCTATATTCAGAATATTCACTGTTAGTCCAACATTGAGCTCTGGGGACCCCATTTGAATGAATGAAAGAATACAAATTTATTTATAGTCTGTCCTATTTCCCCAAAGGGACTCAGGGAAGCTCACTACAAAATACACAATGGCAAACATTCAATGCTGACAGTAATATATAAGCAAATCAATAAACAAATCAAGAACAACTCAATAAATTATAAACCAGCACAAGTGAACAAGACATAATGTAATCCACATAATTACTAACATATTAAATCCTTAAAAGATTTAAATTTCTAAAATTAGGCTAAAATTGTTGGGGGTAAATTGCCAGGACCCACAGTTTAGCAGTGCGGTAGAATATATTTCACAGAAAGAAAATGGAAAACCACCTCTGAGTCTTCCTTGTCTAAGAGAATATTATGAAATCCACAAGGTTGTCATAAATTGACAGGTGACCTGAAAACACACACACATGCATACACGTATAGTAGGTGTTAATGGTCAAAGGTCATGATTCAAACCCTGGTGAAAGCTCACTGGATTTTACATTGGGAAGAGTGGGAATGAGGGCCTTCACAAATTGCAGAACAAAACTGCATTATATGGCAGTGGCGATGGGGCTAACCCAGTGGTTCCCAACCTGGGGTCCCTAGATGTTTTTGGCCTACAACTCCCAGAAATCTCAGCCAGTTTATCAGCTGTTAGGATTTCTGGGAATTGTAGGCCAAAAACATCTGGGGACCCTAGGTTGAGAACCACTGGTTAACGTTTTCTCTCAGGGGCCTTCCATTCAGCTATACAACCCAGAATATCAAGGCAGAAAATCCCACAATATTTCTTTGAACTGTGTTATCTGAGTCCACACTGCCATAGATTCCCGTTCACAGCAGAAAACGAGGGATTTTATTAAGCTGTGTCTAAGGGACCCGTTACTCTGAAAGCTATCATTACACACACCCACACCTTTTATGCAAATTAACCTTCTTTGCAATCCCTGGTTTGCACCTACATGTCTTCAGCCTCTCATATGACAGTATTGCCAAAACAACACCTTCTTCTCTCACTAAATGCAACCCACGGCTTTTGTCTATACAGAACGTTTTCTCCAAAAAGTTTCCTCTTGACACCCCATCTCAGTATGTGAAAAAGAAAAGGTTCCCCCTTGACATTAAGTCTAGTTGTGTCCGACTCGGCGGGGGATGGTGATGCTCATCTCAATTTCTAAGCCAAAGACCCAGCATTGTCCGTAGACACCTCCAAGCTCTTGTGGCTGGCATGACTGCATGGAGTGCCGTTACCTTCCCGCTTGAGAGGTACCTATTGATCTACTCACATTTGCATGTTTTCGAACTGCTAGGTTGGCAGAAGCTGGGGCTAACGGTGGGAGCTCACCCTGTTCCCCAGATTCAAACTGCCGACCTTTCAGTCAGCAAGTTCAGCAGTTCAGTGGTTTAACCCGCTGTGCCATCAGGGGCTCCCAGTATGTGCAAATCCTATAAAATGTAAAGACTCATGCCATTAAATATGGTAGGAGTGACACCCGTCTGATTTCCTTCCCAAAGCGGGTCTCTTGTATTTTATCAATGTGTGCGCCTTCAAGCTGCTTCTAACTCAGAGCGGCCCAGTGGCAAACTTGTCACAGGGCTGAGAGAGTGTGACTCACCCAAGGGATTACCACAGCCAATCAGGACTTGAATCCTGCACACCAGAGTCATAGACTCATAGAGTTGGAAGAGACCTTGTGGGTCATCCAGTCCAACCCCATTCTGCAAAGAAGCAGGACACGCATTCAAAGAACCCCCGATAGATGGCCACCCAGTTTAAAAGCCTCCAAAGAAGGAGCCTCCACCACACTCTGAGGCAGAGAGTTCCACTGCTGAACAGCTCGCACAGTCAGGAAGTCCTTCCTAATGTTCAGGTGGAACCTCCTTTCTTGTAGTTTGAAGCCATTGAGACCTGCTCCTTCCTCCCTATGATTTCCCCTCATATATTTTCACATCATGTCTCTTCTCAGCTTTGTCTTCTACCAGCTAAACATGCCCAACTCTTTAAACCGTTCCTCATAGGGCTTGTTCTCCAGTCCAAACCACAGGAGACATTCAGACCCAAAAATATGGCACCAGTTTGGCTGCCATGGCAGTGGAAGTGGTGTCAAACTGCATCCGTGTAGATCAAGCCTGGGCCAACTTCGGCCCTCCCTCCAAGTGTTTTGGACTCTAACTCCCACAATTCCTAACAGCCGGTAGGCTGTTAGGAATTGTGGGAGTTGGAGTCCAAAACACCTGGAGGGAGGGCCGAAGTTGGCCCAGGCCTGGCGGAGAATTGGCCCCGCAGGGCCCGTTCCTCATCTCCCCACCGAGTTGCAAGAGGTCTGAGGTGATGGCCTTCCCGATGCCGGTGCCTCCTCCAGTCACGATGGCCACATGGTTGCGAAGTAAGCCCGCCGCCAAGACGCTGCTCCCTCCACCGCAAGCCATGACGAGTCCTGCAATAGCCCAAAAAACTCCAAAGCGGCCTTGAAGCAGAGTCACGTGACGGCCCGCCTCTTTCCCTCCCTCCTTTTAGGAATCCATTCCCGAAGGGGGCGCGGTCTCAAGTAAGCCACGCCCCCTCCTCGTAGGAATCCTTCCAGAAGGGGCGTGGCCTCCATGAAGCCACGCCCACCCAATGCGTTGCAATGAGAGAGAGAAGGGGCGGGGGTCGCCTTGCAGCTGGTACCCAATGGGAGTCACTCAGGGGCGGAGGAGGACCAAGAGTGGGGGCTACTCTTTCTCAGGCAGACGGGGAGAGAAAGAGAGAGAGAGAGAGAGAGAAGGAGCCCCTTCCTGGGCTGCATTGTTCCTGCGAGGAGAAAGAGGAGGAGCAGGTAAGCCCCCCCCCTTGGGCCCTTCCACTGGAGTTTCCATTTCCACGCTCTCTCTTCTAGCTCTTCCTCTTTGCACTCTTTGTATGTCAAAGCAAAGGGGGGGGGGCACACCAGATGTGCCTCTCTCTCTCTTTCTCCTCCTTTGTAAATGGGATTTGTACAGCATTGATTGGCCTGTGTCCATGTGCAGAGGAGAAAAGGTCTCACTTGGAGAGTCTACCCACTTGGGGTTGAACATTTTATTGGGCAAATTCATTCATTCTTCAAACAGCCCCCCTTCCTGTAAATGGGATTTATAGCAGCTAACACCTCCCAACAAAGGATTCCCTCCAAGCAGGAAGCAGCCAGGCTTTGAAGCTGCAAGGCCATTTGGTGCTAATCAAGGTGGGTCTCTCTCCTCCTTTGTAAATGGGATTTGTACTGCATTGATTGGCCTATGTCCATGTGCAGAGGAGAAAAGGTCTGAGTTGGAGAGTCTATTCACTTGAGGTTGAACATTTTTGGGGGTAAATGTATTCATTCTTTTACACCCCTTCCTCTAAATGGTATTTATAGTAGCTAACACCTCCCAACAAAGGATTCCCCCAGGCAGGAATCAACCAGGCTTTGAAGTTGCAAGGTCATTCAGTTCTAATTGGGGTGGCCAATTGTAACACTTGCCTCCAACAAACAAGAGTTCCTTCTCTCACACTGGACATTATTTCACTGATATATAAACCTTACTTGCTTAGTTTCCAACAGACCTCACAACCTCTGTGGATGCCTTGCCATAGATGTGTAAAGGTTTCCCTTTGACATTAAGTCTAGTAGTGTCCGACTCTGAGGGGTGGTGCTCATCTCAATTTCTAAGCCGAAGAGCCAGCATTGTCCGTAGACATCTCCAAGGTCATGTGGCCAGCATGACTGCATGGGGCATCGTTATAATTTTATTTATAACCAGCGCTATCTCCCTGAGGGGACTCAGGGCGGTTTCCAAACATTTAATGCCATAATAAAAACAAAACAAGAAACAAGCCAAATGAACAATAAGTACAGTATATTCTGGCGTATAAGACTACTTTTTAACCCAAGAAAATCTTCTCAAAAGTCAGGGGTCGTCTTATACGCGGGTGTAGTCTTATGCATGGGAGTTGTCTTAACTCTATATTTTAACTGGAAAAGTTGGCGGTCGCCTTATACGTCCAGTCGTCTTATATGCCGGAATATACGGTAAATAACACCAAGAACTGAAAACTAACCCAACATTAGTTAATCCTTCAGCCCCCGTCCTCTTTACTAAATGCCTTAAAGAAAAACTAATTGTGAATCTTCCCTTTATAAACACCTTAAAGAATAACTAATTCTTAACCTTTCCTCTCTGAACATTCCAAATAATTATTCAACACACACACCCATTGTAAATGGGATTTACAGTGTGAATGAGCAGAGAGAATCTTCCTTGGAGGAATCTCTATTTTCTTCCTTCTGGATGAAATCCTTTGGCCAATTTATTAATTCTTCAACCTCCTTCCTCAATATCTTAAAGAAGATCTAATTCTTATCTCTCTCCCCCCCCCCTTCTAAACATGTTCTTTAAACTGAGGTTGGCCCCTTCCACACACCTGAATACAATCCACATTGAACTGGATTGTATGGCTGTGTGGGCTAAAACCATCCAGTTCAAAAGCAGATATTGTTGATTTATCTGCCTTGATATCCTGGGTTATATGGCTGTGTGGAAGGGCCCTGAGCATCTCTCAGGAGTGCTTTAGTTGTGTGTTCCTGTATGACAGGATACTGATCTCTATGGCTCTTGCAGTCCCTTCCCACCCATGCTTCTGTGCATTGCCTTTGAGGAGTACCTTGCAAGTAAAGGGAGAGTCATATGGCCCCACCTTTTACTCCGCTTACATGGTGTGGGGTTGTAATGAGGAGTGTGGTGGGCGGGATGTGGCTGCAGGTGAGGTTTGAGCCAGGGATGCCCTCCTGTGCCTGAGCTGTGGAGCTCCTCCTCCTTAAGTCAATTGCTGTCAATTAAGTAAATTGAATTTACTGCAATTAGGTTGGATCATTTTGTAAGAGGGAACTAACAACAGATGCCCTTCTGGGCTTGGAACTTCCCTGTGTGTTGCATCCTGGTTTTTTGAGATACTCTTGAGTATCAAGAGTGGAGAATGTGTCATTTTTTGCGGAAGGTGGGAGGGCATTGAAAGCATGTTGCTGCACCATTCCAGGTGCAGAAGCAGACCAGGAGTCCATTTGCACTGGCAAATGAATGCAGTCTGACACCACTTTTAATTGCTATGGCTCAATGCTATAGGGCAGGCATGAGAAAACTTCGGCCCTCCTACTGGCTGTTAGGAATTGTGGGAGTTGAAGTCCAAAACACCTGGAGGGCCGCAGTTTGCCCATTTCCGCTATAAAATCATGGGAGTTTTAGCTTTACAAAGCTAAAGAGTGCTGTTGCCTCACCAAACACCAAATCCCAGGATTTATTTATGCAATTTAATCTGTGTTCCCTAAAATGCCTGCCTCATCTTAGGACCAGCCTATGAGGTCATACTTATATACATGTCTAGCTGAAGATAAATCCCTCCATTGAATTCGATGGGACTCATATCTCAGCAGTAATTCCTGGTACTGCACTGCTATTTACTTACCTGAGAGTAAGCTTTGTTGACTATAATATGATTTCTTGTGAATTGACAGTGATTATTTTAATTCTTTAAGTATTTTACTGCTTATGTGTTGCTCTGATGTTTTGATCAATGGTTTAATATCACAATGAATTTAATTTATATTGCATTTCTTGTATTTTTGTTGTAATTTGTGAAATCATGTTATAAGGTTTGATGCCTTCTGAACTTGATAGAAAATGGGATGTAACTGCATAAATGTAGGAGCATGATATTAAAACATCAAAAAGAAAATAATGTCAGCTGTAGTAGGAAATAGTTGGTTGTGAGTGTGTTCCCCAAGATATACGGTCATTGAATTTGGATATGTCTAACATGAGTCAGCCCGTAACACCCCAATGGTACACTGGCCCAGACCCATTGATCAGTGCCATCATGCTAACTCAGCAAGTTATGGAGCCAACACAAGATGTTCATGAGTAAGTTGTTTTAGCCTGAATTCTCCATTAAAAGGAATCCCCCAGTGGCACAGTGGACTAAACCACTGAGCTGCTGAACTCGCTGATAGAAAGGTCTCAGGCTCGAATCCACGGAGCAGCATGAGCTCTTGTTGTTAGCTCCAGTTTCTGCCAACCTAGCAGTTCTAGAACATGCAAATGTGAGTAGATTAATAGGTAATCTAGTCAAGAAGGTAACAGTGCTCCATGCAGTCATGCTGGCCACATGACCTAGGAGATATCTATGGACAACAGCAGATTTTCAGCTTAGAAATTGAGATAAGCACCAACTCCCAGAAAAGGACCAACTCCCAGAAAAGGACACAACTGAACTTAATGTCAGGGGAAAACCTCTACCTTTACCTCCCCTAAAAAGAAAAGTAATTAATGTGGTATTTCAAAGCCCTGTCCAGTGTTGTTCAACATCTTTATAACTGATTTGGAGTGCATCTGCACTATAAAATTAATGTAGTTTGACACCACTTTAACTGCCATGCCTCCATGCTGTTGAATCATGGGAGTTGTAGTTTTACAACATTTTTTTTTGCCTTCTCTGTCAAAGAGTCCCAGGGCCTTGCCAAACTACAAAACTCCATAGTTTTCCATAGCACTGAGCCATGCTATTAAACTGCATTAATTCTCCTGTGTAGATGCACCCTCGTGTGATTAAACAAATGTGTATTATACATTCACATATGGCACAAAAATAGGCAGAGTTGTTCACATCCCAAAGGACAGAATCAGTATTCCAACTCGACAGATTGGAGCAGGATAAACATAAGGTGCTATATTTAGGCAGGATAAGTGAAATGTACAAATATTGGATGAGTAATTTGAAATAGTAAATGCTCCCAGTTGACTGCAGGCTAAACATGAATCAGAAGTGTGATGCAGCAACCAAAAAAAAATAATCAAAAAAGCCCGTGCAGTTCTGGGCAAAAGTATGATAGCTGGGGCCCTACTCTAGTAGTTGGGAGCCTATGCTGGTTACACAACGCGGGGCAGAATTAATGAAGGGAAGATGTGCGCAACGTGGGTCAAAAAAGGGGGAAGACAGAAAGGGGAGGGGGGTAACAAACAGCCAAACTTTGCTTAAGGCAAGTGAAGTAATGTTAGAGTTATTTACTGTTAAATGATAAACAACGGCTTACAAAGATGGTAAACGGGGTAGAAATGTTTCCTCTCCCCCTTTCTGGCGAGCAATGTTCCCAGGACTCTGAACAGCTGCGTCTCTCACTCGCTCCGGTGTCTCGCGCACCTCTTCCCTTCCTTAATTCAGAGCCGCGTTACGCAACTAGCGTAGCGCTGGGTCCCAGCTATCATACTTTTGCCCAGTTCTGGCCTGTATCAATGGAACGAGGGAAGAAGCGGTGCTATTCTGTTCTTTGTCAAACTTCAGCTGTAATGCTATGCAAAATTCCGGGTCTGGTTCAAGGATATTGCCAAAGTAGTGTCCAAAGAAGGAGAATCAGCATGGTAAATGATCTCAAAACCAAGCCTTTTGAGAAATGGCTTATGGAGCTGACTATGTTTAACTTGGAGAAAATAAGATTGAATGGTGATAAAATAGTTATTTTTCAATATACAAAAGGATGTCATTTAGAAGATGTTATCTGCTGCTTCAAAGGCTAGAGCACAGAGCCTTGGGTTCAAATGGGAAGAAAAAAGATTTGCCCTAAACATTAGGAAGAGCCTTTGATGGCAAAAGGTGTTTGACAGTTGGAGAGACTATGTCGGAAGGTGAAGTCTCCTTTCTGGAAGATTTTTAAGGAGAAGGGTGATGACTATCCCTCGGGAGTGATCTAGCTCTGAATTCTTGCATTACAGATCTTTGGCCTAGCAGTAGTTCCCAACCTGTGGGTCCCCAGATGTTTTAGCCTTCAACTCC